TGCTAATATTAGGATTTGTGTTTGATATGTGAATATGCACTTGGTGCATATCAATATTATGGAATATTGTTAAATTTGATATTTAAATACTTTGTATGTAATATGCATGTAACAGGTAAAATTTAGTTAAATAATTGGTTGTGATGAATTTATTTAAATTTACCTAATGATTTATCTATGAATTTACCTACGAATTCTAGTTTGTAAGTAATTTGAACATGGTAATTACTTACGAATTGTAAATCGTACGTAATTATCTACGGATATAATCCGTAGGTAATTGCCCACGATTCTATTCGTAGGTAATTAATCACGGATTTTGTCTGTAGATAATTATCCCATGATTTTGTCCGTAGATAATTACCCACGGATTCTATCTGTAGGTAATTACCCATAGACGACATTACCTATGAACAATAATTCCATATATAAATTACCTACGAATATATTACATGTGAATTTTCTACAAGAAAAAATCTATAAATAAAATGATATTATATACGGATTTGTATCATTATCTACGATTTTTTACCTTAGATAATACAATTTTTTTTTAGTGTTTTATAAATAAAATTACAAATTCATCCTATAAATAAAGATGACATTATATTAAACTTGAAAACTCCAATACTTTATTTCTTGAGTTTTTCTAATTTACTTAACTTATTTATTTTTAATTAATAGTTTTAAATTTTTATTTTAACATAGAAATTTGAAAGTAAAAAGTGAAATTTTGTTTCAAATTAAAGTATTTGATTACTTTTCATTTCACATATTTTTCAATAAAAAAATATAAAAAAATATTTTTCATTTTCTGATGGCTATTAGAAAACACCAGTTGAATTGATTTGATTTGTTTGGAAACATGTTTGTTTGCACAATTAAAAGCGCATTTAGGGGAGCGAACATCCTTTATATCTTGCTTGTATGAAAATTTTAGTATTCACACTTTTTTTATACATATTTTTCAAACATTACTTAATTTTATTAATTCACTTAATTAATTGTACAAAATAAAGATAATATAAAAACACTGGGTCAAATGCAAGACATGATTGAGTTAGAATGCGATAAACTTGATGAGGTGGGATTTTGGCCTGGAGGGATGGGCAAAAGTGCAGCCAAGGATTTAAAATTTGGAAGCTTGTTTGGATATGAAAAGAGGTAATGACGACATGTTTTTAGAATTATTATTGAATCAAATAAAATCTACTTTATTTTTTTCACCAAGATAAAATAAATAATATCTTGCGAAACTTCCTGAAAAATAAATGTGGTAGATTGGATATCGTGAAATCAATAATCGTGTGAGTGCTTCATAGCTGTTTTTAAATTATATGCAATAAGTTAAAAGAATATCTTGGAGGACCAACACCAACTCCTAACTTTGGGAAGCTACTTTAATTCTTACTTCAATATTCGTAGGTTGAAATTTGCACTGGTAATTACATTTTTCTATTCAAATAATGATTACTTGTTATGAATAATTTAATTATTACGTAAATTTTAATGAAACTCAAAAAATCACATTATTAAACTTCATTCATTCAGTAATTAAAACTAGAGTATAGTTTTTCGTACAATATATAATAAGTTTGGAAGAGTGATACGTATATTTGATTGATTCCTAAATAATTAATCTATTCTTTTGGTCTTAGCGAGCATGTGGTTCAGAATTGGATTACCAAGAATAAAAATAAATATTTTATTATTATTTAAAATTAAAAAAATTATTTAAAATTAAAAAAATTTACTTGAATTATATTTTAAATATCGTATCAGTAAAATTTATAATAAAATATTTAATTTTATTTTTAAATAATTATTATTAAAAACTCGTTTAGAAGATTCTTTAGTTATATTTATAGAAGATTTAATTGAGTGGTTGTAATAAAAAAGTGTGATTGAATAGATGAAAAATTTAATACTTAACATTTATTTATTATTGTAATGAAAAAAATAAAGTTTAAAATATAAATTATTTTTTATATTAAAAAATTTTAAATTGCAACTTTTTATTTCAAAAAAAATATTTTAGTATTAACATTCATAAATAAAACTAAGTTGATTTAATTTCTGGAGAAAATATATATTTAATTTAATTTGTGATGAAAAATAGTATGATCTGAATTCTTTAAATTTTTTGAAAAAAAAAGTTTTGGGTTATCAATTTGAAAAAAGAATTAGAATTTGATATTTATTCTTTGCTAATAAAAAGACATAATGTGAAATTTGAAATTTTTTTTAAGGTTAAAAAGTAATTTTTCTTTTTATATATGTTTTGTTTAAGTACTTCTGTTTTTTTACTTAAAAATTAATAATACTTATTTTTCACTTTATTTTTTTGTCTTTTAATTTTGAAACCAATTCAGTAATTTTTTTTTTCAGATACAATGGTTTTCCTTCATGATTTTAAACTTCAATGTTATAATGTTTTATATAAAAATACACACATTTATTAATAAAACATTAAAACTATAAAATATTTTAAAATTAATTTATTTCATTTTTATGTTATAATAAATTGTTTTGTCATTTTTTAAATTACATTCTTTCATATGAAATATGATCATCCTTATTAAAAAAACAATCTACAATCATTAATATATATATATATATATATATATATTTTTTTTTCTTTCAGATACATTGGTTTTCCTTCATAATTTTTAACTTCAATGTTACAATGTTTTATATAAAAATACACAGAGTTAGTAATAAAACATTAAAACTATAAAATATTTTTAAATTAATTTATTTAATTTTTATGTTATAATTTGTCATTTTTAAAATTACATTTCATATGAAATATGATAATCCTTATTAAAAAAAATCTACAATAATTTCATTTTTTTTTTACATAAACAAATATATGTGGGTTTTTCTTTACGTATTTATTTGAAAGTATTAACAAGATATATACTAGAAAGAAAATATATCTAATGTAATTTTATTTTTATTTTTTCAAAAATTGAAATCATCAAAACATATTCAAATGATTATGTTTTAAAGTTATATTATTTTATATTATTATTATTATTAATTTTAATTTTACATTTGCCTTTTTCACTCCGATATTATTATAGATATCTATTCGATACTTCTTATATAATATAAATGAAACCAAGTTTCACTTGCATATAACCGTGAAGTTTCATTTAACAAATCCTCTTTCTCTCATCCTTTCTAAAACTGGGTTTTTTTTTTTTTTTTTTTTTTCACTTCTCGGTTTTCTAAAATGAATTGTTTGAATAATTTAGTTTATCATTCACTTAATAACTTTAACCAAGATAACTTTTTCAATAAAAAATTAGAAGAAATATTTGTCACCAAATTACTCACTTCTAGGTATTTTAAATAATTCCTCAACCAAAAATTTCCATCCCCGTTTATTTGAGTAATAAATAATTATTTCATGGTTACATGTATGTGAAATTAGTAAGTATTGAATAAAAATGATTTTAAAACTTAATAGATTAAGTTAGAGGGAAAATTAGTAAAATAAAAAAAAGCAACTAAAATCTATTAACAATATGATAAGAGAATAAACCCTTTTATTTGATGTACATAGTATATTAGGATAAGAGAATAAAATATGATAGGATAAAAACATTATGATATAAAAATAATATAATGATAGGATACAATATGAATTATTCTTAAATGAAAATTTTCATCCAAATTACATATAATTTTTTAAAGACTGACTTTTAGTTTTTACAAATTTTGGAATTTATAGATACATATATTTAAATAAATTATATAATATAATTTAATTTTCATAACTATTTGTTGTTTTATATTATACAAAATTATATAAGTTTTTAAAATTATGATTAATATTTAAATAGTAAGAATTTAATTTTAACATTTTAATAATAATAAAGTTTATGTATTGTGATTATAACATAAACACGTATAATATAATATTTAAAATACAGAATATTGTATATATTATTATATAATTTAATATTAACATAATTATATTTTAATACAGTATTTTTCCTTAAAATTATATATAAATTTATATAAACTATGTTTTTTTTTTGTAAAATGTTTGAATAATAAAATTTTAATCTCTAATATACTGATTATCATTATACTTTAAATTTATTGACTAATGTATATAAAAAAGAGAGTTTAACGTTTTCGTCTAAACCTATCTCATCTCTTCCTGATAATAAGAAATATACTATAATGATAAGACAGGATAAGAGACAAAATAATACCATCATAAATAAAATGAGATATGTCTTTTTTTTGTCTATAAAATTATTTATAATTCTCTGTAAATAAAACTCTATTGGAAATCGATCATGGTGGCACCGCAAAGGTTTTCATCTTTTTAAATTTAATAATTATTAAATATATTTATTTATATTAATTTTTCATCTTTCATATTTTTTTTATTTTTTTATTATTTATTAATAATATATTATTTAACTCAATCAATAATAAAAAATTTCATTATAAAAAATTACGACCTAAAATAAATAGATATTATATACAATTGTATTAAATTTTAAAAAGTGTTAATACTTAGTCTTAAAAAAATATACAAATAACAATTAATGAAGAAAAAAATAATTTATGAGTGTTAGAAAATGGCTTTAACTTTATTCAATTTTCGTTTTCCAAATGAATTCAATCCTATTCAAAAGAAGTAAAAAGCAAAACAATAAATTTATAATCAATCAATAGTAATAAATAACACTTACCACACAACAGGTGAGTTCAGACGCAAACCAAGCGTGTGGTTAAGGGTTGTGTTAATGAAACACTTCCTACGTAAGCTTGAAAACGCGTTACCCCAACGCGCACTTTACCCGCTTGGAATGACCTTAACCCCTGCAAGAAAACATTAAAAAATGAACTTTTCAAGTTATTATTATTATTATTACTATTTCTTTACTGTGTCTGGGTAATTGACAAATTTAGATCTGAACCCCGAGTCGTAGAGTATCTGATTTGGATTCGAAGGTCAACAACAACCTGAAGAAATGGCGAAGGACATCAACCTAAGCTCTCGAACACGAAATCCTCTGCTCTTGTTCTTATGTTTCACCATTCTTATGCTCCTTCGAACCGAGGCTGTATGGTTAAACATCCCTAGTAAGGGAACTAAGTGCATGTCCGAGGAAATCCAGTCACACGTCGTCGTTTTAGCCGATTACTATGTTGTGGCAGACGATGGCAAGGGTCACCAACCTCAAACCATTTCTGCCAAGGTTATATACATGATTGTGCTCGTCAAGAGTCCATTTACTTAAGTTTTTGTCGCTGATTGTTACTATTCGCATACCCAGTTGTAGTTCTTTGACAAATTTAGGGCTAGATTAGCAATAGTAGATTTCTTTCTTTCTTGCTATCGAAATTGAACATTGTGAAATAAGGTTTTAATTAACTCATAGTACAAGATACTAGAGTAGTAGAGTTCATATTGACCTACTCGTTTTATTTGATGGCTCTTTTATTTTTTTTCCCAGGTGACATCCCCTTATGGAAATAATCTTCACCAGAATGAAAATGTTACCCATGGTCAGTTTGCATTTACAACTACCGAGAGTGGGAACTATCTGGCGTGCTTTTGGGTGGATCCTAAACATCAAGAAGGTGGAGTAGACACCACAATCAGCCTTGAATGGAGAACTGGAATCGCTGCAAAAGATTGGGACTCTGTTGCAAGAAAAGAAAAGATAGAGGTAATACATAAATGCAGGCTAAAATATTCTATTTGTCCCTTAATTATCTCCATTTTGAAGTTTTAGTCTTTACTGGAACAATTTGTACATTTGAGTCCTTGTACATTTTTTTGTAGTGTTTTATCACTGACAGAAAGTATTTTAGCAGTTTATTTTAGTCAAAATTATAGATAGATATAACTTCCATTTTTCTCATGGAAAGACTAGAAATAGAAATAACTATGGAAACTAATTAATAGTTTAACCTAAATAAATTAAAGGTTTCATTCATACTCTATCATTGCCTTTGAAATTGATGTCTACAATGCAATTTTATTTGTACTATAATGTTTAATTTTAATGACACACGTATTCTTTTTGGGCTTTGGTTTTAGGGTGTTGAACTTGAGCTAAGGAAACTTGAAGGGGCTGTGGAAGCCATCAGAGACAATCTAATTTATTTAAAGAACAGGTAAGTCTCTTTGTTCATGCTTGATTTCAGTTGTATTAGATAGGGTGCTATCTTTTTGTATGAGGCCTTTATGATAGGTTCTTCGAAATAGCTGCACTATGTAACAATGATGGTGATGTTGGACTGATTAACATAACTGGTATAAAATTATTGCGAAGCATTCATTATGATTATTGATACATTTCAAAACTTCTTTTTGTCTTTTCTCGGACATGACTACAGGGAAGAGGAAATGAGGGAAGTCAGTGAAACAACGAATGCTAGAGTGGCTTGGTTTAGTATCTTATCTCTTAGCGTCTGCATTTCTGTTGCGGTGTTGCAGCTGTGGTATCTGAAGCGCTTCTTTCGGAAGAAGAAACTCATATAGATATTGCTTTCTTATGACTCTTAATCACACAAAAATTGTTTTCTCAAGTTTTGGAGATGACTCCAACCTTGTATAGTTTTTCTTGTGTCATTGGGGTTTGTGGGTTGCACCTGGAAGGGCTATGCAGAAATTGGAGAGTTTGGTTCGTTCTTTCTTGGAGCTAATCGAATGATGGTAACTGGTTTTGATAATTGAGCATCTACTATGTGCATGAATTCCTTCAACATTATTTTAATTGAAAAAAGCATTCAGAGTTCTAAGTACTTGTTGCAAATGATTTCCCCAGAAAGGGACTGATATCCCCTGTTTTCAAGAAGGGATAGACTGCAATCTAAGCAAATGTTTGAGTACAGCTTATGTTATTGATGTATTAATTGTACTAAGTTTCCCTTTTGAAGATATTAGTTGTACGACGTTTACGATGATTTAATTGAATATTTATACTAATGAAGTGTTGCTCGAACAATATACAAGTTTAAACTATTTGTATTTGCTTACTAGCCTTATACTATTGAGTGCAGGTTAACCTATTTGTATTGCTTATTAGACTTGACTACCAACTAATAAGTATATTATAATTTTATTTCTCTGGTTTCTCATTTTTTTATAAGATGTAAAGTAATGTCAGTTAATCCTAGTTAAAAACAGGCATTTAATTATAGTATTTACTATTTGTGATAACACACCGCATTAAAAGTAAAAGTAACACATTACATTTAGTGATTGACTTTATCTATCTATCTATCTATATATATATATATATATATATATATATATATATTTGAAAACTCAGAAGATGGAGAAGGTTCCGTAGAATTAATTAAATTTTATTATAAACCTTTGTAATTACAACTTATGTCTTTGAATTTTGTGTTTCACCTTTTGATAGACACATGTTATTGAAACAACAATGAGGTTATATTATTGTGATTATATTTATATTTTTATAAAATCTTGCTTTCATTTTTTTTTTATACATTATTGATTTTGATCTTATCTTAATTTATTTTTTTGGTGAAGTTTTTTTATTTTATTATTCTGTACTTTAGTCAAACATATCTTCGTTTGGGAGATATAAATTTGACGTGATTTTTTTGTCATCTTTCTTTAGAAAGTTTATTTTGGATGTTTTTTTTGTAAGTGTTTTTGTCTTCTTTTTTTTCTTTTTTTTAGCGGAAATGGCTGATGCTAATTCTATTATGATTTTTTTTTCAACTAAAAATGAAGACAACAGTTACTTACTTTATTATTGAGATTTGATTTGCTTTAAGTCATTCATTGATCCTTATTTTGTTAAGAAGATCCAAATTGAGTTTATTCAACCCTTTAATTTCTACTTGCCAGAACTTTGAGATCCATGTTTTCATATGGTTGTATGTATACATAATCCCATGCCATAATCATGTTATAGCTTGGGATGCTACGAGCAAAATTAATCTATATCCAGGTACAAATGATGAATGTTGTCTAAAATAGTTATAAATCTCAATTACTAGTTCTGAAAATAGTGTGGGTAAAGGTCTAAAATCTACAAATAATTTGAGAAACCATTTGAAAAATTTAAAGGAATTTATCTGAGAAATCAAATATGTTTTGTTGGATTTAGATATACATATGGGTTCAAGCGTCAACATAATCATAATAGGAATAACTTTGAGGGGTACAAGTTATCGAGAAATTTTTATTGGTATAAAAGAGTGTTGTGTGATAGATAATAATTCAGTAATTATGTTATAATGATGGTTTCAGTTAGATTAGTTAGTCTAATAAATTTTAGTGACTATTAAATATTATGTGCAATTGTATAATTAAATATACATCTTTCTTTTAATATTTGTTCGATACTTATTTTTAGATTTTTTTTTTTGCTAATAGTGGTATCAAAAGCTTCAACACTTGGGGAGAAGAAAAAAAAAGAAAAAGAATGACGATGAGAGAAATTGAGTTGCATGAAAACATGTTGGTGCTTGATAGTAAAAACCTAAATGGGTATGATAGTTGGTGTGTGAAGATGAAGACAATTTTTTTATTTTCAAGAAGTCTTAAACATAGTTCTGAATGAATATGAGGTGCTACTGGAGAACCCCACTCAGGTGCAGTGAATGATGTTTCGAGAAGAAAAGAAATGTGATTACAAAACTATGTTTTACATTCATCAATGTGTTGATGAAAGCAACTTTGAGAATGTTTTGTTAGCAAACTCGGCAAAAAGGATGGAATATATTGGCGCACAGTTACGCAAGCGGAGAAAGGTTAAAGGTGGTGTGACTTCAAACCTTGCGTCATTAGTATGAGTTATTATAGATAAAGACACAAGAAACCTGAAAGAAATAAGGGGGAGATTGATGACAATGTGAAACATGTCTCTATATTCCCAAGAGTTGATTTTGATGATGATTCAAGTCAATAACATTCAAGACTCAAGCAAGCCCAAGATATGATTGGATAAAGATTCTATTCAAGATTCAAGCAAACCCAAGATGATTCCTAAAGACTAGATAGAGTCTTAGAATACTAGATATTGAGGTACAAGTTGATGAAGTAATATTATGCATAAGCCTCCAAAGCACAAGTGTGATAAAATTTCATAACATGACTTTTTTCACTGTCATAATTAATTATGATGCATCAGAAATGGAAAAATAATTTTCTCTGTCATAATTGATTATACTGGTAACATAATCAATTATGACAATTCAAATTTGAAAAATATATCCGTTTTGAAGAATAAATGTTTTCTGATACATCCTGCTTTTCTCTATGATATTATTAATAACCAACGGCTATTTTCTGATGCTATTTTTCTATTTAGTTAAGTTTTGATGGAAAATAAAAAACACACAATTACAGAATTCGAAAGTCCAATTTACATTCAATCAGTTTTGAGAAAATAATTCTGAGCAAGGCAATAGAGATATTTTATATATTTTGAGAAAACTCTCTTCTCTATTGCCACAAAGATATTTTACCAAGACCCTTTTCTTTATTGTCTACTGTGCTTTCATTGTTAATCACACTTGTTTTTAGAGGTTGACATTCTACAACCTTTTACAATTTGTTGTCTTCATTACCCATGTGTGACTGTTCTTATTTTATCACCTTCATCCTTTGTGGGCTTAAATGGTTGATTGTTAAATTCCCTGTTTAGGGTTTAAGTAGTCACTGTCATTCAATTGTGTTTTGTTTTAGGGTTTCCTATGTAGAAATTGTTCATCCCTAGTGTGATTCTAGGGAGGTGTTCATCCTTAGTGGGATTCTAAGGAGGTGTTTTCATCCCTTTGATTTGTTTGGGGAGGTGTTCATCCCTAGTATGATTCTAGGGAGGTGTTCATCCTTTGTGTGTTGGTGGCAAAGGAGGTGTTTTTCATCTTTTGATTTGTTTAGAGGAGTTGTTCATCCCTAGTGAAATTCTAGGGAGGTGTTCATCCTTAGTGGGTTTCTAAGAAGGTGATATCTTTTGAATTAGTTTGTTTTTTACTAAGTTGATTGTAATTTGTGAACTGAATTTAAAAGATAGTGAATTGGGGTCACTCTTGTGTTAAAGAGTTGACTGGGAACTGGATGTAGGGTTGACTATACTCGAACCAGCATAAATCACTGTGTGCTCTTATCTTTTTCTTATCTCTTTTTCCCTACATTACTCTCCTTACACCCCTTATTTTTATCTTTATCTTTCTCTATCTTGTTCATATTTTATCTCTCTGATTGTATTGCTTCCTCTTTATCTTTGTTCAATTTGATAATTAAAATTGAATTAATAAATATTGGACATCTTAAAATAAATTTTTAATTTGACATCTATTTTAATTTGTGCATCTATTCATCCTCCTCTAGATGTCATTTGTCTAACAAAACCATCTAAAAATACTTTGCAAGATTGTTGTCTGTCACAAACTTAATAAAGTTTTGTGGTGAAAGCATGAAAGGACGAGCAGTAGTGGAGAAGGTGCTAAGAACCCTCGATGCTAGATTTGACATAATTTTTGTGGCTGTCAAATAGTCTAAAGATCTTGATTTGTTAAAACTTGATAAACTACATGAATCATTAGAGGATCACGAACAATGATTATGTGAAAGAGCGGAAGAAAAGTCCAACATAAAACAGACATTGACGAAACAAAATCAGAAGAATGAAGGAAATCGAGGAAAATTAAATAAGAAAGGTTAAGAAAAAGGAAAAAGTAGAAACAATGGTGGACGACGTTCATAAGGGAAATAAGAGAGCTCTTCATAATTGAGAGGTGGTAGATGCAAAAGCTCACAATGGAGAGGTGGTCGATCAAGCTCTAGTGTGATTAAGAAGAATGTACAATGTTATAATTGTTACAAGTATGACTATTATGTTAATGACTATTGGAGCAAATAAGAAAAATTGAATGTTGCAGAAAAAGAAAACTCGAAGGATAAAGTGCTATTAATGGGGACCGACGAAATAAGTGGAGACTTTTGATGAATCTTAGTATTTGGATATTGATTGTTCGAATCACATGTCATTTCAGAAAAATTGGTTCGTCGATCTCGATAAGAGTGTTGGATCGAAGGTAAAATTTGCAGATAATTCGATAGTGAACTATAAAGGGAAATGAAGAATAATGATTAAAATAAGAGATGACAAATTTGCAATAATTTCAAATGTGCTCTATGTTCTAGTCATAAGACACAATTTGTTGAGAATCGATTAACTTCTTCAAAAAGTATATTTGCTGAGAATCGTCGATAAGAATGAAACACCAATTATGAAGGCACCTTTGAGTAAGAACAAAATTTTTTGAGTCGATATTCTAGTATCAAATAATTTGTGTTTTGCAGTAACAATATCTTATGTCAATTGATTATGACATTTAAGGTATGATCATCCTGACTTTGATAGTTTAAGTCAACTTGTAGGAAAAGAGATGGTCATTGGATTGCCTTGAGTCTAAAAATGTAAAGACATATGTGAATGTTGCATAAAAGGGAAACAAGTCAAAAATTCCTTTAAGGTACGCATCGAGATCAGAAGCAAGGATGTGTTGGAAGTTATCTACACTAGGTGGTAACGAGTATTTTGTGATATTCATTGATGACTATAGCAAGAAGATGTGGGTGTACTTGCTTAATAAGAGGTTAGAGGTGTTTAGGAGTTTTATCGATTTTAAATCAATTGTCGAGAAATAGTGTGGTCAAGCTATTAAAGTGTTGATATCGAACAATGATGAGGAATATAACAATGATGAGTTTGCATCATTTTGCAAGAAGAATGATATTTTACATGAGATCGTACTTCCATACACTTCACAACATAATGAAAATGTGGAAAGAAGAAATCAAATGATTTTAGATATGGTCAGAAGTATGTTAAAGACTAAAAGCTTGTCACATTCATTTTGAGGAGAAGCAATATCGACATTTGTATACATCTTGAATCGATGTCCAACGAAGAGAGTAAAAGAGAAAACATTAGAGGAAGTATGGTCCGGGAAAAAGCCAAATATAGAATACTTGAGAATATTTGGTTGAATTGCTTGGAGATATGTTCCATACGTAGTAAATGTAAGGATTGTGGAAAATTGTATATATGTAAAGAAATTTTAGGATCAATCATTTAAGATGAATATTCCTAAATGTAATGTATTTCCAAAATATTATGTGAGAGTGGAAGTTATATTGGATAATAAGGCTAACTTGTTGAAATAATGAAAATTTAACTTTAAAGTTTACTGAGAGATGCATTTTTACTAGATGCATTATTAAGCATGGTCTTTCATTTAGCTATGTTGAGTAAGAGAAAGTTTGGAAGATAAATAAAGTTTTGAATCTTGATTTTAAACCAATTACTAAAAATATTTCAATTATTGATGTTTATAACGTGTATTTAACAAAAAAGAAAAAACTAAAGGATGTGTTATGTAATATTTTTGATAGAATATGTTTGACTTGTACATACAATTATAACCTCTCAAAACTACATGACGCTAAAGGCTCATTTTGTTGATCAAAATTGAAAATTTTATTTTATGACATTTTAAGCATTATAATTAAAACACTCACTTTAAAATCTTCATTTAAAATATAAAAAACTATTTACCACTATAAAATGTGAAAGCTCTCATTTGTACTTGTAATTGATGGTATATTTATGATCAAGTTAAAAATCTGTGTACAATATTATTTTATTTTGTCTAGATAAATTGAGTTAATTTTGAATAAACGACATCTTATTTTTTTTTTCAAACAAAATTAAAAAAATTATATAAAAACATTTATCTTTTTATTTTTAATTAGACAAAAAATTGTCAATTAGTTCATTGGCCTACCATAGGATCATATTAAACACTTTTGGTTTATTTAAAAATATAAGATTGGACCGTTAATTTTTTTTATTTGTCTAAGCTAAAGACTGCCCGTTTTGAGAATCTGGGAAGATTTGTTCAAATTTTCTATTTTATTGTAAGTTTTATATTAATTTTTTATTATTTTAATATTATTTATTAATTTTTATATAATAAATAAGATTAATTATTATCTAAAGTATATATATATATATATATATATATATATTATATTTAAATATATATTTAGTTAATGGATAAAGATGAATGTTTGGAACAAATATTATTGAAATAACTTTTTCATATACATAATGAGTAACATAATTAATTTATTGTTGAATGTAATTTTTTTAAACATTAATGTTTAACAAACTCGAAATGATCTTTTAATGAGATCGAACCTATGAAAACAATTATAGCATTGATGAGAGTCGTATTCTCAGAATACGGTCACATTTGAAATTGAAAATCGTGCTGTTTAGTGGCGAAAAGAAAATCGTTCAGGCTAAAAACAATTTTAGCCGATCACAAAAAATGTTAATCTAGGCCATGTGATTATGCTGTAAAAAAAAAAAGCAATGTAAAATTTCAGATACAATTTTTATGAAATCAACTTGAGCTTACTTTTTAAATTTGTTACATCAATAATAATGGCGATTATTAATTTTAATATATACCAGTAATTAATTTATTTATTTTACTTGCTTTGACATATTTTAATAAATATACATTAATAGTATTTTCATTTCAAATTTATAAATTTAAACTTACAAATTAATTAAACATTTCTGAGCATAAAATCATGCTGTTTATTTGGATAAACAAGTTTAAGGAAATGTTATCATAAATAACTTACATATTGATGATGTAAATACTTCTAATAATACATAATTAAAAATAGATCCAGTACATCTGTGCAAAAATTTAACACCTAAGTTCAAAAAATTAACACCAAAGTACATGGAAATTAAACTCAACAAGTTTTGTCAAAAATAATAATTAATAATTGAATACAGTTGAACTAGTTAAGGACGATTAAATTGATTTTAAAATTTGAATTCCAAGTAAGAAGCCCAAAAGAAAGTAAAGTGGGCTTTATCAATGAAGCCCATAGAATGGGATTGGGTATAAGGTAGGTGAGAGAAAATACGAGTTGTGGTGTTCGAAGAGAATCATGGTGGTGGGAAGTGCTTTGGGAGCGTTTGCAGTAGCAAGGCCATCGTCACTTTTGTTGTTCAGAGGACAAAATGCTTTCAAATTCAGAACTCTCTCGTCTTCATCTGCCGAACCTTCTAGAAAGCTTGTTCTCTACTCGAAACCCGGTTGCTGTTTGTGCGATGGCCTCAAAGAGAAGCTTCATGCTGCATTCTTACTCTCCGGTCCCGATTCACTTAACGACGTTGATTTGCAGGCATCTCTCTTTCTCTCTCGTAGGCTGTATTATGCGTGACTATGAGTACGAGGTTTTGTTTCTGACGTTTGGTTTTGTTTTCCCAGATAAGGGATATAACCAGCAATCCCGAGTGGGAAAACGCTTATCAATACGAGATACCTGTGTTGGCTAAAGTGCTTTCCGATGGCACCGAGGTTTGTTCTGTTTGTTCACACTACACTTCTTCATTCTCAGGGCACTTATTGATGATTGTAAATCTCTGTAATCCAACTTAGTTGGGGATACTACTCGCATTGACATGTGTGGAACTATAAAATTTTAGGTGGGAATGAAAATTGAAAATTTTAGGCGTGACATTTTCTGCCCTGAAGACCTTAGGATGAATTGCATCTGATTTTCATTGGTGAAGGGTTACAAGGTAGGGAAGTGCCTAGTTTCTTTGAATTGTGATTTAGCAAAGCAAGGACTAACGATTCTCTGTTGAAGTGTGCGTCGCCCACTAGTTAGTTATTCCTTGGTTTTTCATGATCTCTTTAAATAGTTAAAGAGTTAAGTGCCTGTATTTTTATGCAAACCGGCAGTCAGTAGTAGGACAAAGAATTTGCATGGTGGTTTGAATAGCAGCATCTTTTGATGGATGCTTTCTCTTGGAGTGTATTCTAATCAAACCAAATACAAGCACGATGAAACTTCTCCCACCTTGTGGTTTCATTAATTCTTGAACAACTTAACTCTTGGAACATTTTATTTCGTTCAAGTATGCCCTGCAAACTTTATCACTATGCGTTTTGAATTTGATGATTATCACAATTGCTTTCCCCAATATAAGATACAGCCCTCTAGTTTGGACTGAGCTTATTGTTAATCACTATTGACGATCTTATTAACTTTTCATTTGAGTCTTCGTTGGAACCTCTTATTTGAAGATGCATAATTGGTCCATATTGTTAGCATCGTCGCTTGACTCCCTATTTAGCTCATTCCCCCCTCTAATTTTCACTATTTTTCAATTTTCTTGAAAGGAGGCAAAAATTGCTATAAACAAATACTAGATCCTTTATCCTATGAGGTGTCATCGCTTTTGATAAAATAACTACAAGAGTATGTGATTCAATTTATTTCACAGCATGAAGATAGTCATGGCTGTCCAAGTAGTGTAAAGACAAACTTTTAAGGTACTGGTACATAAGCACAATGTAAGATGGCTTTTCAAGGTAAAGGTTTTGATATGAATCTTAATAGTATAAGGGATGATTTATGATCTTTAGGGTTTAGGGTGGAAAGAAAGAATCATTCTTCTTAAGGGAGGCAACTCACAAAAAATGTGAAAGTCCTATGATATAGTCAAGTGTTATTGAATCACTCCAGAATTTAGGAGAATCATTATCACTAAGATAAAAGAGTTAAACTCTAATATTTTTAAATAAAATTCAACTTGTTATATTTGATAAAAATATGGTTCAATCTATATAGAAGTTTTGTCATCAGACTTACAAAGATTCAATAAAAGAAAATAAATGCTAATAATGATTAATTAACTTAGGAATTGAAAACTACTTAATGGAGATAAATAAAAGCTAATAATGATCCATTAACCTAGAAATTGATACTACTTAATGACTGATTGACTTTTGGTTGCCACAATTTCAGTTACATGCACCATCTTGGTCTCCTAATGACTGATGACTAAGTTTCCAATTGGACCCTTATTACAACTTGTAATAAAACTAAACTAAAACTCATTAATTGATTAATGCAAAACACAATTTGGTCAACCAACGATACTTGTTGAAGAGTTTCCTTTGCTTCCCTTGATCTAGTCTTGTCATAGGTCATGTTCACATCATTCTCTCCTTCTTGAAAAGAATTTGTCTTCAAATCAGATTCGTCATCTACACAAAAATGAGATAAGTCTGACAAATTGAATGTAGAACTAACATTATACTCACTTTTTGTGGCTAAATAGCTCTCTCAGTTCAAGTGTTTCACTCTTCTTTTGATCATTTTTTTTCTTCACCAGTGTTTCACTAACACTTTCTTTTTTTCTCTTCTTTTGAAAAAGTTTTTCTCTCGTTTTCTTTTTATCCTCACACACTTCTTGTGGACTCAAAGGTTTGAGCACAATCTTCTTGTCTTGGTACATGAAAGAGATATTGTTGGTGAACCCGTTATGATGGACTCTTTTATCAAATTGCCAGTCTCCCCAAAAGTAAGTGACTGACCTCCATAGGAACAACATCACAAAGTACCTTATCATTGTATTTTCCAATGGAAATGTTCACTTTAACTTGTTTCCTCACTTGCACCTCTCCATCCTTACTAAGTCATTGAAGTTTATAAGGCCTAGGATGTAGTTTAGTAGTAAATTTAGCTTTGACATTAATCTAGCACTAGCCACATTTGTGCAACTACCTTCATCTATGATCATCATGCACACCTTGTCATTGATTAAATATCTAGTGTGGAAAATGTTTTTTCTTTGACTTTCTTGCATAAACTTCAATTGACCATCAAGTAATTGCCTAATCATCAATAAATCTCCCTTTGGAATCTCCTCCTCCTCTTCAAGCTCAGATTCACTTATATATTCTCCCTCTCTAAGAACCATAGACCTTTTGTTAAGACACTTATAAGCATAATATCCTAGGTATTGACATTTGAAACACTTCACATCTCTACTTCTTTTAGAGGGTTGCTCTTCAGACTTTGAAGTAATCTTTGTAGGAATAGGTGTGAAACTACTAGAAGTAACAACCTCATATTTCTTGTCTTTGTCCTTCCAACTTGAAGATCCAAAATTCAGTCACTTCTTTTCTTTTGAGCTGTTACTCCACTCGAATTGTTTTATAAAGTAAATCTTCCATATCAACAAACTCCTGCAACTCAACAATATCACGAATATCAATATTCAACCCACTAATAAATCGGGTCATAGTTATCTTTTCATATTCTTCAATCTTTGCTTGAATCATGAGCATGTCCATTTCCTTGAAATACTCCTCAACTCCCTTGTTGCCTTGAGTAAGTTTTTGGAGTTTAAATTTCAAGTCCCTTGAATAACTAGCCGGCACATACCGCTTCCTCATGATCCTTTTCATCTCAATCCATGTATCAATCATTGACTCTTCATTTCTACCTCTTTTCTTTTTTAGCTTGTTCCACCAAACAAGAGCATAGTCATAAAATTCCGTGATTGCAAGACTCATCTTTTGGGTCTCATAATTGTTGCATGAGAAAACATGTTCTATTTTCATCTCCCACTCCAAGTATGCCTCTAGATTATTTTTTTCTTTGAACAGAGGAATGCTAAGCTTGACTCCTTCAAGTCTACTTGGTCTTGCTACTCCATCATTCCTTTTCCTATTTCTTCTTTCTTCTTCATCTTCGGGATCTCTATTCTCCAACTGGTTCAATCTTTCATGGAACTCATTGTTATGTCGTATCATTAATCCTTCCAAATGTTATACCAATGCCCTCTTTGAAATGGATTAATTCCTGCTTCTTGATTGTAATTTTTCTTCTCTGCCATCAATTTGATGTTCAAACCCTTAAACTGGGGCTCTAATACCAAATGATATGAATTTCAATAGCACAAGGGATGATTTAGGATCTTTAGGGCTAAAACCTTGTAGAAAATTTAGTGATAAGGTAGAAGGAAAGAATCACTCTCACAAAGATAAAAGAGTTAAACTCTAATATTTTTAAATAAAATTCAACTTGTTATATTTGATAAAAATATGGTTCAGCCTATATAGAAGCTTTGTTAGGATTACAAAGATTCAATAAAGGAAAATAAATGTTAATAATGATTCATTAACCTAGGAATTGAAAACTACCTAATAAAGACAAATAAAGGCTAATAATGATCCATTAACCTAAGAATTGATACTACTTAATGACTGATTATAATTTAAATTGTGACAACCAAAAGTCAATCACCTTCTTGGTTTCCTAAAAACTGATTACTAAGTTTCCAATTAGGCCTTTATTACAACTTACAATAAAACTAAACTAAAGCCCATTAATTGATTAATCAAAAATACAATTTAATCAAGCACCAATACTTATTGAATCTTATTCTAGTCCTTGTCATATCAAGTTTTGTATTTGCTTATAGTAATTTTTGCCTTCTTTCAAGAATTTCCCACAGTTCCTAATAATTATATATATGGTATCCTATATTTTGGACTTTGGTTGTGTTTCGATGTTGGTGCTTGATAGTTATATATATATATATATATATATATATATATATATATATATATATATTCAAAACATTATTCATTTACCAGGGCAATTGATTGGATGAAACCTAGCCAATTATGTCCTTCATTTTGTATCATCCATAGAAAGTTTTTTTTTTTTCCCGTAAATTTTTATGTGGGAAGATGGAGTTTCGAAGTCATTTGGTGCTATATTAGTTGTAATTTATTCATGTCCAAAGCTAATTTAAAACCTTTTGATTCATGTGATTTACTTACGGCTGAGGCTCTGGAAATCCTTGGAATTTAGGACCTTTTGAATTCGTATGAAATGATTTATGGTGTTAAAGAATTGTCAGTATGACTGACGAGAATCTATGGAACTACTATTAAACTGATAATGAAAGTACACAATAATGGCATAAATATGCACACAGCAAGATCAACCACACTTATGAAGGCCTAATCAGTTACATTTTACTAATGACACCCGTATTTTCATGATATAAAGATTAATTCAGTTGTAAGGTCTATTTTGGTCCATCATTTCTTTTTATAAGGTTGTATTGTGTCTATTTGTACTCTGATAAATGGGCAAATTGATTCCTTTTCAGAGAGACATACACAGATCATTTTCTGCGTTGTCATAAAAGGAAGACATATGTCTAGTGGTCATTAGTTCAGCCCAACCTAAAAAGTATCCCAATTGAACTTGGACCATTATCTTTGGTGCAGGCCTAGCTACTGATTGACCCGAGTTAAATGTCTTTCCATCTTAAGCCTGAACGATTACCATATCAGTATGTCTTTCTCATTTCGAAGTTGCACTGCAATTTGCTGAACCATCTTTATGAAGACCGAGCAAATGGAACTAAACTAGTTTCATTAGAAGTTTGAATAGTCCTATTAGTTTTCTGATTTTATGGTCCAATTCCAACTATTTGATTCTACTCTGTTCTCCCTGTTTAGTTTCTGGATTCTTATATATGTTAACTGATCAATACTCCCATCTTGTTTTCTGCCCAATACTTCCGTAGCATGTGTGTGGCGTGCTGTTGCAATTGCCTAGGATTTCTTTACATTTCTTGTAACGTTCATGACATCCAAATAAATAATAAAATAAGACTCAATATAGTGAGAGGGAATGATTCTGTCTGACGTAAATTTTGCCCTGTCTTCCAGGTGGTTTTACCGCGAATGTCCCCACGTCTAGGAGTGGAGCTCCTCCAGAAAAAGATAGCGGCTTCTATGAAACAACAATAAAAGCATCCAGTTCTGAAATGTTTGTTTTGTAACCTTACGTTTACCATTTAACACAATTTTTTGTAAATTATATTTGTAGATTTCCATTATTTTTTTTAAGTTCTGTGGAGTATTATGTATTGAATAAATCAATTACATAAAGCCGAGTCTGATATGTAGAAGTTGCTCAAACGTATACGCACACACACCAAAGAAATTCCGTACAATTTAAAAATACGAAGAAAGTTCAATGTATTTCCCTACATATCTGAAACACCATACCACAATGATCCTTCCTAGAGTTTTGATCACACTAATAATTGATGCGACTTACCCTTATCATGGAAGAGTTGTGCATTTTTTTCCTGCATGTAACTTGTTGGATAATTTGAGAAATCATGAAGCAAATGAGACCCGCAAAACATTCAATCTTGAAGTAGGCCCCCATTTTCCACTGATAACATGTCTTAGGTACATAAGAGTAATTAATACGCATTATTATATCTGTACAGTTTTTTCTTTTTTTTAAAGCTTGGTTTTCTATCATTCTTAGTATATCTGTACTTTGATTTTGTCAAAAAAATATGTGGAGATGTAATGTAACTCAAAATATTTGTAGCAAAATAGTGCGAGTGTAGCACTACAAAGCATTTTCTCAACAAACTTCGAAGATGTCTTGACTAATTTTAACACTCAACTTTCTTTATTTACCATCCAAATGTTTCTCTCTAATAAAAGTATTAATTCATTTTAAATTACACGTTTTAACTACCATTTTCGGTTCCCCTATTTATATGTGTTTTTAAATATTGAATGCAATGTGTTTTGTTACTTGCATTTCAAATTTAGTATATTTTATTGCTTCGGTTGCATGGAGTGATAGTAAGTGGAGTAAAAAATATTAAAACCAAATAGGAAAAGTGTGAAAATGAGTGAAAATAATTAAAAATAAATAAATAAAAAGTGAAAAGTTAGATTTTTATATTATAAATAAATGTTAAAAATGAGAAGAAATAATGATAAATTTATTTATTATGGTTTCATTGTTATTATAAAAAAATTTATACATAATCTACTATATAATTTAAATATTAATAAAATTATTACAAGATAATTGCTTAGGTATTTTTTTTATATTTTTTCTTCGTTTGAGCGTGTTAAGTGATCGTGTCTTTATTCTTTTTGAATTTTGTACTTTTCATGCAAATAAATAGTGATCTTGTCTTTCTTCTTTTCGAAATTTGTACCTTTTAAGCAAAAATACTTAGCGATCTTGTCTTTGTTCTTTTTGAAATTTGTACTTTTTATGCAAATAAATAAAAACAAATGCGACTGAAAGTCCTATTTCTGCATCTGTGCTTTTTCACTTTCCGTAGGTAGAAACAAACATAGAGTATGTGAATTTAGCTACTCTGACTTTTTTTTATATAGTTTATTTTAAAAAAAAATAACATTTTTATTAGTTTTTTTTCTATGTTTATTATATTTTTCTTTCTGATTATTAGAAAATAATAATAACAAAGTATATTTTTTTATTTTTCACATTATTTCATATTTGAACTTATTCTCTCTCCCACCAATATATATATATATATATATATATATATATATATATATATATATATATATATATATATATATATTAAATTTATTGTGTATCTCTTTTTCTTAAAAATTCTAATATTGGATAGACATTTTTTTATTTAATATTAACATTTTAAAAAGATAGTTATTTTTAAAAATTATGTGTTACTAAATTTTAATAACTATATATAATTTGTAGTTTTTCTTTTTTAAATTATTAGTAAATGTATATAAATTTTAGACATTTTTTATAATTTTTCTATCTAATTTTTTTTTTAAGTTTTAAAATATGAACGTATTGTTAATTTTTTAAATAAAAAAATATTAATGAAGATTTTTAAAAATACAAAACTTTCTCTCTCTCTCTCTCTCCCCTCTCTCTACATATAGATATATATTTATTTATTTAGATTTGTTATGTAGAGTTTTCATGATATCCCAATTAAATTATGAGATTATGAAAATATCAACTACGTTATTTATATACATATATTCTGTTTCTATCGTTAATATTTTTTAATTATCTATAAATACAAAACTGTTTATCGTCTTTTTTTCCTCATATATGTTTTTTTTTCTTTTGGTAGATTTAAAATTTAATAAAAAATAATTTTGGTCTAGAGAAGAAAATATGTATTTGCTCTTCTTTAATTATTTATATAAATTTTATAGATTTATCTCGTAAGCTTTTATTTGATATAAGACTTTGATATGAAGTCTCTTGCAAATGAAGAAAATAAAAGCGGTGCATTCACGTAAAAAAAAAATTCTTAATGTGTTTATCACTTTAAAGAAAAAAAATAATAAAGATATTAAATAAAAAGTTAACTACGTTTATAATTGAATTATTGAATATTTTAAATTTTGTCCTTTATTATTGATAAAAATATTTATTAAATATAAAACTGTCATAATTTTTTTAAAACACATATTATAAAAAGGATTCCTTTATTAATTATGATTACGAACACATACACTAGGTGTCTATAAAATTTTAAAACGACTAAACAAGTATATTAAAATATTAAAAATTAAATTAATTAAAAAAAAGTTAAAAATAATTTGTCTATAATTTAAAAAATTCACAAAAATTTAACAAATACTAAAAAATTTACAAATATTAAAAGTAGAATTATAATTTAAAATAAAAAGTATTTTTTAAGTTAAAAAATAAAATAGTAATGAATTATATATATATATATATATATATATATATATATATATATATATTACATGACTCATTCTACTTTATTAATAACATATAAAAAAATGAAACTATAATTTAAAATAAAAAAAATATTTTAAAAAAGTTAAAAATAGTTATACAATATAAATGGTAAAATAAAAAAGAACTTTGTATGCCAAAGAAATTGATTATAAATAATAGGTTGAAAATATTAATATATTATGAATGGAAAATACTTCACTTATTGTTTCAATTTACTGTTTAAAAATTACAAAATCTTCTCACAGCGTTGAAGGATAAAAAAATGAAGTTAATAACTCTGAACTATATGATAATAAGAGGTTCATCACTCATCTAAATCATGTAATATAACACAGTGAACCCGTTTCTGAATTATAAACATAAAACTTATTTTCAGAAATAGTAAATACGATGTTAATAAAATAAAATGTGACATTAAAGTAAGTTTATTATAGGGTTGACAGCAATTTTATTATAGGGTGAAGTTATGTGTGTAGATTTAAAAGTTGAATCTTTTAATAGTATTTAATAAAATAATATTTTTATTATATAATAAGTTTATTAATAATAATGTTTTTTAAAATATAATAAAAATTATAAATATAAAATATATTATAAAGTAAAAAATAAATAATTATTAAAATAAAATAAAATAAAAATTCAATAAAAATAATTATTATTTAAAATTGAATAACTAATAAGAGATAAATTTTTTTAATATATTATATTTTTTATGTAAAATTATATTAAAAAATTTAATTTTAATTTTTTTTATCAAAATAGGTTAAAAAAAATTCAAGTGATTTGTTCAGTTATACTAGTTTTGTCTCCTTTTTTAGGGTTGTCCCGATTTAATTAAAATTTGATTATTTAAAAGCAACAATTGATCTTTAGCCTAATTTTCGATTCAACCAGATCAATCCGATTTAGTTTCTAAGATAGTAGTAGATAAATTCAATGATAGATCCTGTTGGAAGATGAGGGGTCATGACCCCGAAAATTTTATAACCAACATTAAGATTTATTTTTTGGTCATTTAAAATGATTATTGTCAAAGTTTTTATAAATTACACTTATATTTATGATTTTAATCTTCTCACATTTAATAATTATTAAATATATCTATTTGTATATTTATAAATTTAATCTCTCACCCTTTTATATTTTTTTATCTTTCATATTTATTTATAATATATTATTTGACTCCCTAAATATAAATCATTAAAATCCACCACTAAATAAATTGTTAATAATAAAATGAGGTAAGAGTGCTTATATTTTGATATTAGAAAATGAAAAAACATCTATTATATACCTTATTTGCTAATACTATATTGATAAAGTAATTGATTTAAAATAAAATTAATTAAAAAATATTATTTTATGAATAGATAAAATTAGGTTGTTAATGTATTTTTTCCTAAAGTTTATTTATTTTTAATTCGACTTCTCCTAAAGTTAAACGAAGATAAAGTTTATTTGTTTTTTATTCATCTTTCCTTAAAGTTGTTTTTATTAAGAAAAGTGGTTTTTTCTTTTTTGGAAAATAACATATCATGTTAAAAAATAAATAAAATTTAAAAAATGAAAAGATATTTTTAATTTTTTTTAATATTATTATTAAAATTTAACATATTAATGAAATATATGATAAAATATGTGAAAAATAATTATGATATAATAAAAATTAAATAACAAAATTATAATTGAAGGTATAAAAGATTATTATACTATTTGTTAGAAGGTGTTTACTATACAAATATTTTAAGTGATACAAAATAAAATGTACTTAAAGGAAACTGTGTACAAATTCTTTTTATTGAAAAAAGAAGAAGAAGTGTACTTAGTATGATTGAAGAAAGAGGAGCATGATTGAATCGTGGTGACATCACAATAGAATCAATCTATTTATTCAATATTGAACCTGATTTGTTTCCACGTGGTTTCTCGCTCCAATTTTCCATCAATTCTAACCAACTGAAATTGAATTCATATAATTCACAATCCACTTTTTTTTCCATCATCACTCAAATAACTCATTTTTAAATTTTAATATTATTATTTAGTTATCTTCATTCTCTTTATGAGATATTTAAAAAATTAGATGTTAGAAAATCTTTTCCCTAATATTTTGGAATTGTTTACGGTATATTTTAAAAAATTGGATGTTGAGAAATTTTGTATTAATTAATTGAAAATTTTTATTTTTATAAAAATTACAATATTTTTA